TAGAAATAAAAGGAATGTATTTATTGTTGCCAACGTGAGGAACAATTTCATCAATTTAATTACATGTAGCTCTTAAAATAAATCCTTTTCTGTAAGGGTTATTTAATAAAAATAATAATGTTTTAAAAGTCAAAATCGGGGGTGCGGCCTATGCGGCGCTGCGGCCTTATCGCCGGCAAATACGGTATACAGTCACACACATCATTGTTGGAAATTTGATCTTTCACTAACAATTACCGGTATGCTTCTGTGGAAAGCTAAAGATGTAAAACATATTGCAGGTACAGTGTACATGTTTAGTACTAGGTCGGAATTTCTTTGAAATTGCTGCAAAAGGCAGGGTATGTCGGCATTACAAACTGCCGAGTTTAATACTGGTATTGTGTAACCTATCACACAACTGTCAATAAATATGAGTACCAGTAGAATTACATACATGTATATGCTGGCATCCATCTTGACTTCCGAAACCTTGCTCTTAAACTGAGTGATTGTGAAGAGGAGGTTAAATTAGTAAGGTGTAATTCATCTTTCTTTCTTTTATAAAGGCATCGTTTAACAGTGTTAAATTTGAGATGCACGGCCGGCCCTATATGTACAGTGTACGTGGTATCAGTGACTGTGATATGGTGTAATATTGAAGCTCTAAAAAAGTTGCGCTTCAATTCAAAATGGTTATTAAAGGTACTATGTCCCATTTGCAGGCCAAAAAATGAAAAAGTTAAATTCAACTTTAGGGCTATATAGCCCAAAAGTAATAGTCTTGATTTTCAGACAATTGTACCGAATGGTCATACGTTTTATGCTGCGCAAAGATTCAATCAGTTTAGTCTTGGTCATCACAAGAAGTGGGTTATTGATGTAGACAAATGCTCATGTACCCTTTACAACTCTTTTCATGTACTGTATGTTATTACCAAAGAAGAAAAAAGCCAGTCAGTCACTCAATAGTGTCTGACAGTGAAGTCTAGCAAGTAAACGGGTTTCCTTGCATAATTTGAATATGAGGACACTGCTAACGTTTACATTTCACAGATAGGACATACATGACATATTCATAATTCCTGCAAAGTTCTACAGAATTTGAGGTTGGCTGCAAAAGGGACATAGTACCTTTAAAGAAGTGCCTCAAAAAATTAAAAATCTTTGAGTGACCGGTTTCACCATATTCATTTTCCCCAATAGACTGTAGTGTTATGAAAACCGTTAGGAAAACACCAGATTTGGTTTTGATTTCCAATCATAATTGTCTTGATAATCAGACAGGCGATCGGCTTGTAAAACTCATGGAGTTCCTGACTGACCTAAAAGTTTATAATTATCATTGCTGCATGAGCTAAATCCAGGATTTTTGTTTCAGAATCTGAAACAAACTTTAATACCGGATCCTAATAAAAGATGATGCATAACAGACCCATAATGAAATGGAATAGAATCAATAGATAGAAAGAAACCAAGAAAGATGATTTACACTGAAAAATTTCTTCCTTTTTTTAACACTTTACAGTTCATGTCAAAATTGTTTTGTTGAATGCAAATTGTTGGAGGCTGTTTGAAAACATGTACAAGGTACTAAAAGAGTAGATTTGAAAAGTACCATGACATTTTTTTAGCTCCTTTTGTTATCTAGTCTTTGCAGAATTAGATCTTTTAAAGATACAAATTAGCCTCTCATGTACAAAAAAGAGGAAGTAAATGTTGGACTTGTTTGAGACAGTTAGGTGATCAAAGTGTGCAAGGTAGTCTACATTTAGGAGTATTTACACTGTATTAGCCAAAAGCATTGTTTTTTCTCACGTTCCATTTTTTTGTGGAAGTTGCTACATGTATATATAGGCAACTACCCATATTAAAACAGGATGAAAAAAAAAAATCCAAATCCAAAAATCCACCTCTGGAGTTTGGTTTTTTGAAAAGCTAGCTGGCTGAAACTCCGCCAGTTTTCGCAGGGTACATGTATATGTGAATTATTCAATTTTTCGCCCACGTTAATCTCCTCCCTCAGCGACAAGTAGTGCATGCGCACAACTCACCAAAAAAAAAGCCACAACAAAACAAAAACGAAACATAACAAAACAAAGAATTAACAGTTTTAACATCAACAGGTATTTTGTTTGTCCAGTTGTGTAAAAAAGGAATTAAATCGTTCAAATGAGTTTTACTGCAATTTCAATGGGCCTATTGTGTATACCGTAAGTTTACACCTAGAAAATTGCTAATTATTTAAAAAATCATATATGAACAGTAAATTATTATACATCTTATGAAAGAGTGTTTTATCCAAAATCATTTGGTACCATTTTTGTGTGGTATGTGTTCACGCTTGGATGAACAGGTGGCATTGTTTGCGAGAGTGCAAAAATCGACTTGCGCCAAAGTGATGCCTTCAGTATGTATTATGTTGGGATAAGCGGAGTGAGAGAATGGATTGAATGTATCAAATGAAATACATTGGATATTTTTTTGGCAAAGGGCAAAGTCACACACACGTGCACAAATGATATTTGATATTCGATATTTGATATGTGTGGCATGATTAATTTTGTTATGGGTGTTCTTTGGATCTGCAAAGACCGAATTAATACCCAAATCCCAATTGTTTTTCAAACATCACATAGGCAACTTTGGCGCAAATCGATTTTTGCACTCTCGCAAACATTGTCTCCTGTTCATCCAAGCGTGAACATACACCACACAAAAATGGTACCAAATGATTTGGGATAAAACACTCTTTCATAAGACATATAACAGTTTAATGTTCATCGAGGATTTTTTAAATAATTAGCAATTTTCTAGGTGTAAACTTTTTTTTGACTCACTCTGTATGTGCTTCAGTTTGTCAACAATCTTTCTTTTACAAATTTGTCTACAAACCAGATTTTCATTAATCATATCCACTTCCTTTACTCAGTCCAGAACATTGAATTTGAGTCGATGTCTCAATGATAATCTACTATTACTTGGAAAAGTTGGAATCACTTGTGAAAGCCAGTGTAGGTACAGTAATGTACCATCAAACTCAAAACATTTTTTTCATGGCAACAACAGAATTGAAGATATCTATAGCGCAGTTTGTCCTTGGCAATCTTTTTGGTAAACATACACAAGTCCCCCAATGTAGATACGGTACTGAAATTACATGTACTGGTATATTTATGTGTAATGAATTTCATTGAGGTGCATTCACGTACAAACCTACATTGTAAAGCAAAATCACGTCAAAAAGCAATTTCACGCTAAGGCCAGTTAATATTTGCTTACAACCAAATACTGCACAAATGATCACAGTAATTGATATACTACATGGAGAATAGATAAAAAGGGAGACCCCACAGTCACAAAGGATTCCTGGACCATATCCAGGGGCTCCACGGGGGCTCTTTTAAAGTCTGTATGAGACCTGGGGGGGGAGGGGGGGGGGGGGGGGGAGGGGGGGTATTTCACAAAGATCCTAAGTCGAACTTAACTCTAAGTTGGACTTAAAAATTATGGAGAGCCATCTGTAGCCTTTTATAATAATAATAGCTCGTTCTTATATAGCGCATATATGGTCATTGGATTCAGGCTTATATATTCAGGAATATATTCAAAATCAAAAATCAAGTATTCTAGACTTTTCGTAAATTCCACATCAAGAACATGAAATTTTGTCTCACTTCCATTTAGGCTAATTTCCTACAAGTCCACTACACATTTGATCTTTTAGTTTCATTTCCAGGCGTTCCAATGCCCAGTTTGTCTAATGTCCATTTTGTGTATCGGCCCTTCTGTCCATATGGTCTGATAGTATAATCATCAAATGATTATTATTATGAACGCCTGATAATTATAATTATTGCTGAGTAGAATCGTAATGTGTGTCTTACATTTAAGATATTGGCAAGGGTGACAACAACTGCACTTGTCTTTAATGACAGATATGATTAATTCATCACATGTAAAAATCTATTGCAATTAACTCAGTACTCAAAAGATGAAGGAAATTGTATAATTCTCTTAATAATTCGGAGTTGTCTACTGAACATTATGAACTTGTTCAGAGGTGGACCCAGATTTTGTAAGGGCGAAATAATTCAAATATTTTCTGTTTGTGATGCGTTTGAGATGGATGGAGGACTTGCGATCAATGTGGATCAATTTCAACTCTTTGGTATCGCCCATGACAACCAAACTTCTGGGGCATCTACTGTCTGGAGGCTACATGTGTTATTTTTTGTGAACAAATATCCAGGCAGGGGATTTGTACATTAAAGCTGTAGTACTTACAATGTACATTATCTCAAACCAACAGGCCGGTTATTAAACATACATGTACATGTAGTTTTATGGATGTTTCTTTCCAAGGGACCTTGTGATGAGTTTAATATTCCATTAACCTTATATTAATGAATGAACTGCAGCGCTTGGAATCCTGTCTGCATATATTACATGTTGCTATGTCAGACAAGCCTTGGGCAAGTTTTCAGGTTATCAAGTTCCTTTGCTTTAAAAGTATGCATAATATTTGAATGTATTGGTTACCGGTCTACAGTGTATTAGCCACCAATGGAAATATTTTCTTGAATCCAAGAGGCTGTTCACACCGCAATGAGCGCAGTCTATCGTAGCACCCCCTTTTTTCTAGCGCGCGCTAGACCGCGCTATCTCTCGTGGACCACCCCCAAGAGGTGCTCCAGTGGCACGCCGTTTTGGCTTGCCGTGGCTCGCTGTTTGGCGGACCGAAACGACGTTGTAACTTCCAAACCACAGAGATAGCGCGGTCTAGCGCGCGCTATCTCTGCCGGTGTGAACAGCCTCCAAGTTGGGTGAATACTTGACATACATGTACAGTATATGTCATTTACCTCTTTTCTTTGATAAACACCTCCCTGTTGCACTTTGCTTCTCCTCTCCTTATCTGTATCTCATGAAATCTTCCTTAATCATTTAAGTGATAAACAAGAACTGTTTATGTAAATATTTACATTTTGGTTTCCCTTTCCTTTGTCTTGTTCATACAGATCTGTTGCAAACATTGATGCCTGGACATCTCATCTTGCAGTTGGGCGATACATTGTTCATGCACCTGAGTGATTGACCCTACAACAGTGAACTCTTGGTCACATGTACCGGTACGCCTGTACATGTACTTTGGTGAAAAAGATCACGTAGCATGTACTTGTATGTAAGATGTTGTCTTCAAAAGAGACTGTTGCACCACTTTAGAAGATGACCTTGTACCAATAGAAGATGACCTTGTACAACTTAAGAAGATGACCTTGTACCACAGTTGTCTGACTTTCTGGACACACTGTAGTCTATGTGCTCTGAAGATATGGCCAGCCACACAAATTTTGAATTCTTGAATACATGTGAAGACGGTGCATACACTGTGTGTTCGCTAAAATCCTGCAGTATTAAAAGGCTGTGCCTGTATTTCAAGAGAGAAGCTAAAGTCATTATTGATCCTACACAAAGGGAAAGATGAATATTTAATTATTTGAACAGAGATGACAAGATCAATTTTGAAGCAAAAAGAAAAAATCAATATTTATTTATTACAGAAGATATATTTTGGCAAACTTTTATTTATTGACATGCTCAATTTGATTTTTAAAAGTCTTTGAATTAAGTTTATTCTATTTTTGAGTGGAAGAATTATTGACAAGATGGGTTCCGTTGTAACTGACAACTCGATCTTCAGCTATCGGTATTTGACGATGGTGAACCTGATAACGTTAGGAACCGAACTCTGCTCGTCTGCGGCCTTCAGCTATCTCCCTCCCCTACTGCTCGAAGCTGGCTTCTCAGAAAGCGGGATGAGCACCGTCATGGCCATGGGACCGTTCCTGGCGCTGTTTCTGCTCCCTGTAATGGGTACGTCAAGTGATCGTTGCCAAAGTCGGTTTGGGCGTCGTCGACCTTACATCGCCGTACTCTCACTAGGAATCATCGTTTCGCTGACCCTTCTTCCAAACACGAAACTGATCACTGCCTACTTCACCCCCTACTTCACCCCCTACTTCCCGGAGAAGCAATTCGGCTTGATCGTTCTAGCAGCATGTGTGATTCTTCTAGACTTCTGCTCTCAGGTATGCTACACGCCCATCGAGTCACTCCTGTCGGACCCCTGCAAAACGGAAACCCAACGTAACCGCAGCTTCGGAATATTCTCGCTGATGATGTCATTGGGTGCGTGTCTAGGGTACTGGATTGTGTCAGTTAATTGGAGCGAAACTGTCCTGGGTTTTTACTTGGGAGGACACGAAAGAACGTTGTTCTCTCTACTGCTCATCCTGTTCACATTCTGTTTTATTCTATCGACTTACATTGCGCGCGATCCTCCATTACTTGATGCTTCACTCGAAGACATCATCGAAGTGAACTCTGCCAACCCTCATACAGCTCTGAACGGAAAGCCAGTACTAAAGCCTGCAAATGGTTCCACCATTGCATCAGTACCTTTTATGGTATCAGCAACTCAGAAGACTCTCTCCTATCGTGTCCCCTCCAGGATATGCATTCGTGTGAAGTCCATGTGCTCGTCTCTTTTCGCCTGCATTCCTAGACCAAAGATTGACCTCAGCCCCATTAAGGGCACTCTTGAGGGCATAAGGACGATGCCAAAGGCTATGAAGATGCTCTGGATGGCTCACCTAATGACGAGCACAGCAGTGATGGGTTTTCGCTTATATTTCACGGACTACATGGGCGAATCGATATTCAGTGGCAATCCCGAAGCAGTTGACGGCTCTCTTGTCAAAAGAGCTTATGAAGAAGGTAAGAAAGTCTATGATTGTTTTCTGTCTTTTAAGGCTCTGGAGCCAGTTTCTTGAAACCATTGTAACATCTTAGATATCATATAGAAATGCATCTCATTCTAAAAGGCCCCCCCCCCCCCTTCACAAAAAAAAAAGATGTTGTATTGCCCTTTGTGTCCGACCCAAAAATCTTGAAATCTATGGTCGGCTTTTAATTTTTTTTACCGTTTATTTTTGAGAGAAAAAATATTAAAGCATTAAAAACTGAGAAATATCAGCCCAAAGAGGGAGAAAAAAAAAGGAAAATATTTCTGACCGACCGACCGACCCATGTTTTGGCCATTTTTTGTTGTTTTAGGCCTAACAAATGTTTCAAGGGGATGCCGATGTTGAAGAAGTAAGACATTGGGGAGGAATCAGCTCCCTAGTAGTCCCTTGGTGCTTTCGTGCACCAGATTTCACAACAAAAGGGTAGTCTTTGAGGATGTTTATAGATACCTAAAATCCAAGTCCACCCTGGCATCAAGTTGGCTTTTATCATTAAAAAACAGAAAATGAGAGATCAGTGAAAATTTCAGGAAAAACTAAAGCATGTACACGTTACACAATACATTACAATTAAAACAAAATGATCTACATGTATGGTAGTTATTCCCTCATTCCAGTACAATTTTGAATTTAGAGTGACCCTGTAAAATTGTTAATTGTCCAATGTTTGCATACAAACATTCATTATTGAAAAATGGTAAAGTGGATATTTATTTATCTATTTATTCATTTTATCTTTATTTCATTTCTTTGTGTGTTTGTTTCTCGCTGTCTGTTTTTGTCTCAATGTGGAAAGGGGTGTGAAGAAAGATTTAGGAAAGCTGCTGGCAATGAGCTAATCCCATCTAGATTCTAGACTAAGGATAATTAATCCCCTCTCTCATTGCCTATTAATTTATAACACAGGTGCAAGCTTATAGCCAATCCATACAAAAATTATTAACAAGGATACTTAATAATACATACATCATATAAGGTCTAGATTTCTCAGTTTTCTTTTAGATTAAGTTGAGTTCTGGTCATGCGATTGCATTGTGAAAGAAAAAGTGTGGAATGGATCAGAAAAAGTCAAACATTTTTGTAGCATGCAAGGATTGGTGTCTACTGCAAGGTTCTGGAGTCATTAAAATCATAATAAATTTGGCCCAGTCTTGGTAAAGTGACAAGCACTGTACACAGAAAGATGTACTAGTACTACACAAATGATGTCGGGGCTACATGTATATGTAGTACACCTTGATTTCCGTATCTTGCTATGACCATTACAGGCAACCAGTATACATTTTCTAACAAAATTGTTTGGCAAATGACATTTATTTGTTATCTTGAACATTGAGTGTAAGTTTTGTTTCATTCTGTGAGAATTCATTTTTTTTTTACCAGAAGTCAAGTTTATCTTTAAAGCCCCACTGCACTACTTATAGCTACTCGCGCCCTTATTTTATAGCAAACCCATGCCTAATCGGTGACCATTGGTCCCTCATGGTCCCCCTTTTCTTATGTAATTGAGAGCTGGTTTGATGAGATAACCACCTGTCAGTGACCATGCAGAGAGGTCTAATCCCTCCTGGCCAAACTAGTGCAGAGGGGCTTTAAAAGTCTAAGGGTGCGTTAAGTCAACACTTTTTCAACCTAGAATCATAGTTTTCAAAGAGGTTTAGTGCAATTTCATGTTGATTCTTTTAAAAACTACCTGTACATCATGTATGAAAGAGTGGAAACTACATGTACAAATGCTTAAAGGTAAAGACCAGTATTGGAAATGCCCCAATTTCAACAAATGAAATGGAAGCTCTCATTACCAATCATGTGAGAGAATATGTTTTGACTAATGATGATAAAAAATTTGCCGGGAAACCGCCTACTAATTTGGTAAATTTGTTTCTCTCATGGTCTGTGAGAGATATAGGGTAGTCCCATATACATCTTTCTGTGTATACATGTAGTGCTTGTAACTTTACGAAAAATGGGCCAAATTTCTTATCATTTTGATGATTCCAGAACCTTGCAGATGCTAGATGATCAACCTTTTCTGATCGATTCCACAACGTTTCTTTCACAATGCAATCGCATGACCATAACTGGTCTTTACCTTTAACCCTGTATTATTTTATTTTGCTTAACCCTGTACTATACACTGTAGGTGGGGTTAGGGGGGGGGGGGTCTAAGCCCTACCTATAGTCGGGGGTTAAGCCTATTCCACTTTCTGTTCAGACTCGTATTTTCCAAAGTGGGCTAGCCCCACCTATTGTACGGGGTCAACTAACCCTGCAAAATAGCAGGGCTAACCCCGCAATTGTGGTGCTAACTCCTGCTAACCCCGCAATTGGGGTGCTAAGCAAATGAACAAAAAACAGTCTGGGGTTAAGGATAGTACGGGCTAAGCAAAGTACGGGGTTAAGCAAAACCAGTGTGAAAAGAGTATGAGCTGCTGTGGATTTTTATTGTTTGATGGTGATCATGCGTCAAGTCATAAGAACATATCAAGGATAGTCAATGTTTAAAAAATGCAGTGGGGGATCGAGAATTGAGCAATTTACTCCACAAATTTCTGAGAAGAAAAGGCTATCCTGCTGAATTTTAGGATGCCTTTCAAATAAATTGACCACCCCCCCCCCCCCCCCCCCCCCCCCCCCCCCCCCCACAACAACAAAAAAGGATTATGAAAGAAACAAACTACTGTAGCTCGGACGGGCGCAAATTAGCCCGCTATTTCCCAAACACCAGGATATTTTGGAACAACACCAAGATTTCCTGGGATATTTTCTCGACCAAATATCCGGCTAATTGCAAATACAGGCTGATGAAGACGCAAATTAGCTGGATAATTCGGTCGAGAAAATATCCTGAGAAATCTGGAATATGATTGGGATAGTTTAGAATAGCGGGTTATTTGGCAAACTCGAGCCGATGAGGACAGGCCTCCTGATCACAACTTGTTATCTATCATATCTCTGTACTAAAGAGATAGGAATCTGTGGACTTGGGATTAATCTAGAAGATTCTAAAATCCGATGCAAAATGTTTATGTTTCTGTAAATTTCCTCTGTCCAGTATTTGAATTATTCATTCTCAAATCTCAAATTTCTGTTTTAATACTAAAAACAGATGGCTGTCTTATATTTAAAATGAAATTTATAAATCGCATGTAAATATAAACAGTACTTGTTCAGTTCTCAATTGATATATTTTAATGTATTACCTACATGTACATGTTCACGTACAGTTTGTCCTTTTATGTCATTTTACTCTGTGAATTGAACGACTTCAGCTCTTAGCTGCATGTTTGATGATTATAAAAAAAAAATCCAATTTAACCATAGTAATAGAATTTAAATTTAATCTTAATTTAGCCCTCTTTTCTCTTGTTTTCTCCTTCTCTTCCTCCTCAAGGTATTCGTATGGGAAGTTTTGGTCTCCTGCTGCATAGCATCATCTCCGCCGTGTTCTCACTCGTCATAGGGGCCGTTATCACCCGGTGGGGGGCTGTTCGCACCTACCTGTTTGGCATGGTGCTGTTCACATGTGCAACCTTCGTCATGCTCTTCATGGACGGTATCGTGTTCACACTGCTCCTAGCCAGCCTGACCGGCTTCGCCAATGCTACTATCACCACAGTTCCGTACACGTTGCTGACGGGGTACCATCAGAAAAAAGAAGTGAGTTTCAGTTGACGTGTATACCGTAAATCCAGATACTTTAAAGGCTGGCTGTACTTGTTTGGCCGGAAGTGATTAGACCACACAGCGTGGTCAATGACAGGTGGCTATCTCATCAACTCTGCTCTTAATTAACATAAGAAAAAGAGGATCATGGGGGACCGATGGTCACCGACTAGGCATTGTTTTCTATATAGAGGGAGCAAGTAGCTACAAGTAGGACAGTGGGGCTTTAAAGGGGGAGTCCACCAAAATACAAACAGATAGATAACAATGTTAGAAATAATGTCTACAAAGTCACAGAAACTGCAGAATCCGATAACACAGTATTACTTGAAATAAAGTAGACACCCTAACACCAAGTCACACCACAGTCTGTGGAATGCAACCTGTCATAATGAATCTACAATGTAGTTTTAACACCAGGGGGGTGTTTCACAAAGATCCTAAGTAGAACTTAACTCTAAGTTGGACTTAAAAATTATGGAAAGCCATTAGCGACTTTGAAAATATTTTGTAAAAGTTATTTTGAAAGGCATAAATGTTGATTCAAATCATTCATATTTTCTATCATCAAGGAGATTTCATGTTCTTGATGTGGAAGTTATAAAAAAGTCTAAAATACTTGAATTTCTGCTTTTGAATGTATTTCATTTTAAGGCTTCAATGGCTGTCCATAATTTTTAAGTCTAACTTAGTGTTAAGTTCTACTTAGGATCTTTGTGAAACACCCCCCAGAATTGGTTATGGTAGGTATGTCTATAAATTGAGAAGTTTATACTGAAATTGATAATAATTAAAATTAAAAAAGGAAAACACTTGTGACAAATAAAGAATGTACAGTACTTGTAATTGTGATGGGAAAATCACCACAAAATGAAAGTCCCTAGTTGTGCATATTTCAATTTCTTTTCAACATTGCTTGTGTTCACAGTAAGTTTAGTAATGATTATGATATTGACATGGTCTTACACTGTACATTTACTGTAGCTCAGTTTTAACCTGAGGGCTCTGCCATTATTAATGTTTAATATGATTTTTAATTATTAACCTTCCAATGCTACAATGTACACTATGAATTGACATTACAGTGTTGTTTTACATCCATAATCCATACATTACAATCCAATTCCGATGCATTTGAAAGAGGAATTTAGTAGTTGATCACATTTTTCATCACATCTTTTACCACATTTTCTTGCACACAGTGGTTTTAAGCAGGTATTAATTCCTTGAAATGCTTAAAGGTAAAGACCAGTATTGGAAACGCCCCAATTTCAAAAACTGAAATGCAAGCTCTTATTACCAATCATGTGAAAGAATATGTTTTGAATAATACATGATGATAACAATGTTGACGGGAAACCGCCTACTAATTGATATATTTGGTAAATTAGTGTATCTCTTGTCTGTTGAGAGATACAAATGCATGTGTCGCGCACGTGTGTGTAGTCCCATATACATCTTTCTGTGTACAGTGATTCTAACTTTATGAAGACTTGGCCAAATTTCTTATCATTTTGATGATTCCAGAACCTTGCAGTACATCTATGCTAGATGATCAACCTTTTCTGAGCGATTTCACAATGCAATCACATGACCATCTGGTCTTTTATTTAGCAGCCATGCTATAAAATGCTAGGGTAATCGTATGGAGCGCCAGGAGTGTCAAGTTTGACAAACAATCGGCGCTTTACGATAACCCACTATTAATATTATTATTCTCGTTCTATAAAACAGGCCTGAAAATTTCCAGATTTTTTCTTCTCCCGATTTTACCCCTATTTTCCTGATTTTTCCCAATTTTCTCCCAATTTTCTTACTCAAAAGGTGGGAATGTTGTGAAATGCCATTTTTTGTTTTCTTCCCCTGCCCTTTTTTAGGGGATACTCAAGGGGGGGGGGGGGGGGGGGGGGGGTTTTGGTAGTACTCACTATCACCCCTGATGAAATAAGCTCTTTAACATGCTTATCAAAATCTGTTTATCCATCCCTTCTAGTTGTACTACCAAGACAGCGACGATACCGGTGTCCATGGCAAGGGTGCAGATCTGGCCCTCCTAGACAGCGCCTATATCCTCTCTGAAGTTATCTCGTCGTTCGCCTTTGGCATCATCGTCGAGATGACCGAGACGACGGGAGCGTACATAGCATGCTCATTCGCGTGTGGTCTTGTGAGCTGTTTCATGGTACTTAGAATTAAGTAGTACTAAGTCCTTTTATTATATAATACAGTGATGCCAGTTTTCAGGCAGTAGCCTGAATTCGGGCCCTGGCGAGTTATTTACAGACCATAGTTTAGGCTTTTTTTCGTACAAAATAGCTCATTCTAGGTGATTTTCAGGCCTGACCAATTCTTACTGGCATCCCTGATAATAGTGGATGCGAAAAGAGGAAAATGGTACAGAGAGAGAGAAAGAGAAAGATAGTGTAATGAAGAGAAAAGGGGGAGGGATGGAGAGAGAAGGAGGGAGGGGCAGAGAGAGAGAGAGAGAGAAAGAGAAAAAGAATAAACATAGCTGTACAGAAAGAGTGTATGGAAAAGAGGGAAATGGAGAGAGGACGGAGGGACGGATTTGGGGGGGGGGGGGGAGACAGGCAGAAAGAGAAAGATTAATGTAGAGAAGGTAAATATAGAAGTAGATTAATATTACCTATAACCTTGATATTCTTGTGAAAATGAATTCAACTGTATAACACGTTCTTGATCCTGCTTTTTGTCCCTAATTATTTTTGGTAGTAGTTTGTTTATTTGTTTGCAAGTGTTTAGATAGAAATTATGGATATACACTGTAGATGTGTGCAATGTATGAGGTAGACTTTAATTTTTTTGATTTTTTTTGTTTTATTTTGTTGGGGGGGGGGGGGGGGGGCTAAAATATTTGCATTATATAGATTATACATGTATATATACGATGCAATGGCATATGCGTGTCTGACTCTTTCCCTTTGTCCATCTCCATCTCTCTCTCTCTCTCTCTCTCTCACTTCACCTCTTTCTTTCTTGCTCTCTTTTTTTCTCTGTTTGTCTCATGACTAATACCAAACTAGAGGCAAACAAGAGGCAAACAATTTTTCGGCACACCTGTCTTCTATTAATACACCTTTAAAGACCATGTCAGAAGTGAAAAATAAAATAGATGTATTATATATCAAGGAAAGCTGATAAGGCATAGATTACAGTAATATCAATTCCCGGTATATGCTAATTTTGTGTCCGTCAGAGAAGTAACAGCTCTCTGAATACTCAAAATTGGAAGCTATGAAAATCGGAAGTTGTCGACCTAAAACCTAGCTATCGACTTGATGACATCATTTCATGTTGAGGCTGCATATTCACTTTGACTTTGCAGCAATTAAGCCCGGCTCATTGCCTCAGCTATAAAGTCAAGCCGACCGACTCCACGTGTAACGTCATAACTGTGGCAGATTTGACCCCTGTTGACCCGTAATTCAGAGGTGTGCGGAATATGAAGTTTTTATTCGCCTTTGTGCAATAATGAAAGGGAACATATTTGTTATTCATTTCTATTTGTATTCTACCTTCATTGAGAATTCCATTGATATAAAGTTGTATTTCATCAGACAGGGTGTTTAACTGTGTGTGTGTGGGAGGGGTGGGGGTACCCCCTGGTCTACAAAATTCTGCAGATGGGAGAGTAAAATACGACCCCCTTCCCATCAACACTTGCTCTTTAAATTCCCTGTCTGAATAGGGGGCCCTTTTCACAAAACGTGATATCGATAACAAATTATGATGACTGTTACCAGCTTCTGAAATCACTGCACAATAGCTGAGAGCTACTTTGCTATTGAATTGTGACACTTGTTATTGATAAAAGGTTTTGTGAAACAAGGCCCAGGTTTACTAATTTCTGTACAGTGTAACATCAAAATAGAGTTATGGTTATACAATTTCAAATTTTCTCAACGTGTTATCGGTGCTTTTAGTCAGAATCTATTTATTTTCAAAAAATTGTGCTTTTTTTTTTAAAGAAAAGAAATGAGAGGAGATGTGCTACATGAAGTGTATTATAATAATAGATGGATATTATTACGGTAAACATAAAGCTGTTGTTCGTATGCACCTTATTTTATAGAATTAATTCTGTGTTATATACCGTACATTAAAGATAAACTTGAGTTCTGGTAAAAAAGAAAGTGAATTCTCACAGAATCTAACGAAACTTACACTGAATGTTCAAGATTACAAATAAATGTCATGTGCCAAACAATTTTGGAAGAAAATGTATACTGGCTGAGCAATGAGCATAGAAAGATAAGGAAATCAGGGTAGTACCAGCCCCGACACCATGACTGTTGTCCCATATACATCTTTCTATGTAAGTGATTGTTACTTTACCAAAACTCTGCCAAATTTATGATGATTTTGATGAACTCCAGAACCTTGCATTACACACCATTACTTACATGCTATATGATCAACTTTTCTGATCCATTCCACACCTTTTCTTTCACAATGCAATCGCATTACCAGAACTCAAGTTTATCATTAATCTTGTCAAAGTACATGTAGTTGTAAGTTCTGGTGATAAAGCAATTTGTCTAAATGCCACTTTGAATAGGTATCATGTAGTACATGATTACCGCTAATAATAATCCCCATTCATTTTAGGGTTGTTTGAATGATAAAGGAAAACAAATAAAGAAATTATGCAAAACAAAAAGGAAGTGGGCGGGAATGCTAAACATGTACATTTCTTTACATGGCCTAATGAATACATCTTTGTTAGCCCCTATGTACATGTACAAAATCATACTAAATGAGAATGGGAAAAAAATACAATAATCAATTGTGTTTTTGCTCACATACAGGAGCCTGTTGAGAATATCATGGGGGAGAAAATTTGATTCAAAGCTCTTCGGAATTCAGTATTGTTACCCTTCCTTCTCTTTTGTGCTAAAGCTCTCTCAAAATCATGTTACATACAATGTAGGAGATGATATGATTGAGAGCCTCAGCTAGCTATTTGGAATTCTGTATTGTAACTTTTCCTTGTTCGCGCTAAAGCTCTTTTGGATCTTTCAGAGCGAAATCAATGTTATGTCCTGCGTAGTTTTTTAATATATTTTTTTTTACTGTTTTTGTTTAGAGTACAACATTTGTAGAGTTTGTGGAATATTAGAGTTAGGAATAGAGGCTGAGATTTTGGTGAAATACCAAACAATTGAAATACATCCAACTGGAAATAAATGTAAAACCACCTTGGCAACACATTGTCTGTTGAGTTTAAACCCTCCTGCTTCTCACCATATATGCAATTTAGCAACTTCAAGAAACTGCTATTTAAAAACGTTGTTAAATCATTACAATTTAGCCCATTGCATTAAAGGTACTACATGTATGTCCCATTTGCAGGTAAAAAAAAAAGAAACAGTTAAATTCCAACGGCATTTGAAAGACAATACTAGTTTAGAACTTCCCTCAAAACGAAAGGGCTTGAAAAAGGCTCTTAGTGGGGAAGAAACGACCATTAGTTGTCGAATCGACATAAGTGATTGCAATCACCTAAGTGATAGTCTGATTTTCAGACCCTATTACTGAATGGTAGTACACTGTAGGTTTTGTGCTACTCAAAGAGTCAATCACTTTAATTTTGGCCATTACAAGTAGTGGGTTTATAGACAAATGCTCATGTACCTGTTACAGCTCATTTTATGTAACTATGTTATTACCAAAGAAAAAAAGATGCCAGTCAGTCACTCCATAGTGTCGGACAGTAAAGTGTCAAAGTTAAACGGTTTCCCTGCATAATTTGAATACTGGGACGCTGCTATGTTGAAATATCACAGATAGGACATAAATGACATATTCTTAATTGCTGCAAATTTCTACAGAATTTGATGTTGGCTGCAAAAGGGACACAGTATCTTTAAAGCACGTTTTCACGTTCATGTTTTTTTACATTTTAGCATTCTTATTTCATTTGTATCTGTTGAAGTTAAATGGTTCAGTCACTTGACTGCAAGTGCAGCTGAAAATGTGCTATCTAGCCGTCTATTTCTTACTGTTTGCTTACCGGTATTTTGTTGTAGATTTTTCGTTTTTAATTTGTAGTTGGTCTATTTTAATACCATATATTTTGTTTTGCTTCATGTTATATGTATATTATGCATATAGTTTTTATAAATTTTGTTATTTACATGATTTTCCTTGGATTGTATATTCTATTTTAAATGATGGACATAAAAACAAACAAACAAATCGAGAGGTTTGGGGTTCAAATACCAGACATCACTCTAATCCTCTATGGACCCAAGTGCAAACTAGATATACCGGTATGTACATGGCACGATGAAATTGGTGGTAGCATGGATTAAAGGGGAAGTCCCCCCTGATGTTACAGTGCAAAGAAACATGGGTGTATAAAATCGGCATTCATTACAATGCAAGTGTTTTTGATTCAGTAAGACTTGAGATCTACATGTATCGTGTTTGTACAAATAACCATGGCTAGACTGTGTAGCAGGTCTTGTATGACTGCCATATAAACTGCCATTTTCTCAATTAACATCTGCTTTTGTAAACTACATGACTTTTATGGAAATCTGTATATATATTTATATAACATGTCATATATGTACACAAGTACATGTAAATTGCTACTTGTATTACCAGAGTTATAACATTTCTTCAGGAGGACAAAAACCACTCTCCTCTGCACTAATTTAATTGCCATGCTTCATGATACAGCATCAAGGTTGAAACAACGTATAGAGAAAGTGATTATCAGTGGTGTACTAGATCGATTGGCAAAGTAAAGCCATTATACATGGCAGGTTTACTTATTCACTTCTTTCTGCTTTACAAGTGCCCCTCAAACATCACTTGCGGCTTTTGTTATTCTCATTCTTCACCGTTTTGTTTGTTTTTACCATGGACTAATTGTTTATTCAGCGTCTTTGCAAACCATTGTTGAGTACAAGCACCACTGCTAAATCAATGGCACAGTATTGAAATGAGAGAGAGAGAGAGAGAGAATCGGAATACCAAAAGGAAATACTCAAACAGTTCAGCTGTTGTCAACAGTTATACTTATAAAGTCAATACATTGTTGTGTGTTCAATATCAATTGCTATTTGTCCGAGTTACTCTGTAACTAAGGGAGGTTGGCAGAACCACGTAGGCTAACAAATCACTACTTCCTCTGCAAATTGGCTTTTACACGGCAACACATGCAGAGTCAATGAGAAGCCCCCATCTGTCGGTATTAAATTATGGCAAATAGAAATTGTTGGAATAATATCCTTTATTATTCATACTGATATTTATTTCTATATTTCTTTTATTGGGATGTGGGGGGGGGGGGGGATGCAAAAAACCAATAATGACACGCTTTAAATTTGACAATCGATAGGATATG